TGCCAAATTTGAAGCGCCTGCGGCGCCGGGAAGTTCCCTATCGGGCACCCGACAACTTAGCTTTATATATTATAGAGATTAGCAAATTGCATAGATAAACAAAGATTTCAATAAAGTAATTAAGGCCTGAAATACTTTAGTATAGAAATATATTATTTGAATAGATACTAGATCTAGGTAGGGTCTACATCTGTGTAAGTCTAGTTTTTCCGTAGATCTATATCATCTAGATCTAGATCTATTATCTCTAGATAGAATCCAAATAGATAAAATATTTTTTTTTAAGTTTAGGCCGAGAAAATCGTATTGTATACATTTCATAGCGTACATAGCTCTAAATCATATTTGAATGAAATAGTTCATTTCTTTTTATTCTAAACTCGGAAGATGACGTCATCAGTTTCGTGCTCTTTTTTTTAGTGTAAACAATAAGCGACGTCATTGTTAAATGCATTCTTGTCCCAAGTTTAAACACTTTTCCGGTTGCATAATTAAAATTGTTTTTTATACATTCGAATACGCTTTCATTTTTTATTTTTCTTCTTTAAATAAAATTGTGGTTATACATTTAAAACATCTAACATATTATTTTCAACAAAAGTCCGTATAAACTTCTTCATATATGGCTGCAGTTTCTGGTGTGATGTCCGGCGAAAATATTTTGCGGACAGAGAGAGAGAGAGAGAGAGAGAGAGAGAGAGAGAAGTGCGCACGGGAGCTGTTATATATTAGGATAGTTCTACAATTAAGATAACACTTGATAAAACAAAATCCCCACACCTTAAGCAATACTAGATCTAGTTCTACAATTAAGATAACACTTGATAAAACAAAATCCCCACACCTTAAGCAATACTAGATCTAGTTCTACAATTAAAATAAAACTTGATTAAACACAGTGCAACACATTTACTTGACCTACACGTCAATGTTTTGCAATAATAAGTTATTTATAACTGTTCTCAATCAACCCTCCACACTTTACAACTTTAAACAATGATCAGTCAGTCATAAGGTGACAGGATAGCATCCCGCCAACGTGAACATCACATCAACTCATAGGGAACATCACAACAAGCCGACGGGAACATCACAACAGGCCAACGGGAACATTAATCAGGGCAACGGGAACAGCGCATTTTGCCAATGGGAACAGTACATCATGTCAACGGGAACAGCGTATAAGTCCGACAAGAACAGACTGCCATGCCGGTAGAAACCAACATTCTTCGGACAACCTGTGCACCTTATCAAACGTGTCTACAACCTGTACACCTTATCAAACGTGTCTACAACCTGTACACCTTATCAAACGTGTCTACAACCTGTGCACCTTATCAAACGTGTCTACAACCTGTCATAAGAAATAAAATAAAAATGTGCCACTAATTCACACATTATGTGTACACACAATTGACCTTGGGAAACAAATTCTCAACAACACATGGTAAACTGACCAACTCCGCAGACCTGTGATTGTAAGTTATCAAATTAAAAACAACAAGCCGACCCGCGGCGTAGCATACGACGCTATTTAGTTGTTTTATTCCCACGTTTTCTTTAACTTGCTTTCGCGTCTTTCCAATCAAATCTTGCGATCGAAATTTCGGGCACTTCCCAGTTAGCTAGCGCGCTGAAATTTTCAGGGAAGCTTTGTTTCCGATGACAATAGAATATTCAATTGTTATTATTACTAAATTGATCCATGGAAACATTTTATTGATCATTTTAGACCGCTATATAATTGTATAAAAAACCTGGGGGGAAAGGGACATAACCCAGTAATTGTAATTTGATGAAAACAAGGTTCGGTACTCTCCCTCTTTTTGCTTACTGAGTAGTTGTCACGCGGTGTTTGTGTACAAACAACCAGAACGTAACAACTGGTGGCCAGTATGGGGGAGACGATATGGTCAAGTGGTTGGGCACACGATTGCTAACCCACTCGACACGGGTTCAAGGCACGTGTTTTTTACGAGTTGTCTTCGTTTACCCAAAAAAACAGTGAATGCGAAAAGATAAAATCGATAGCAAGATTTTAAAGCAAACAAACAGACAAAGACTAAAAAGTAGAAAATAATTATCATTAAAAAATGTTTTAAAAAACCCACGTTTTCTGATTGAACTAAAAAGTAGAAAATAAATGCTATACATCACAATAATGCAAGCGATCACTCTACTATTTTAGTTCAATCAGAAAACGTGGGTTTTTTTAAACTTTTTTAATGATAATTATTTTCTACTTTAATTCAAAATTTGAGAATTGGACACTACCAATGCTGAGACTAAAAATATTTTGCTTTAAAACACTATCAGTAGCTCGTGAAGGACGATTATCCTCACCCTCCCTTCCACCGCCCTTGATAAGCAGCCGTCCGTGACGACAGTTTACAGACGACAATGAAAAGATCAAGCAAAACTTGTAACTTCCCCTTAGTTCCTAATAGTTTAAAAACTAAATTATCTGCCTCTAATAGCCGTCACTAATTCGACTCGGCTCTACGATTGTAAACATTTGTCGTGAACCACAGCTCACCAGACAAGTGGGGGTGATAGCGATATGGTCTGTTGCGCATGCCTGGGGAGTGAGGGAGGGGGCGGGTCGGCGTGGGTACATGGTGGTGGTGTCCCGCATGGTTCCATGTAGAGAATTATATATAGATATAGATATAGATATAGATATAGATATAGATATAGATATAGATATAGATATAGATATAGATATAGATATAGATATAGATATAGATATAGATATAGATATAGATATAGATATAGATATAGATATAGATATAGATATAGATATAGATATAGATATAGATATAGATATAGATATAGATATAGATGCAACCACCCGCCATACAAGAAGTGGTTGCGAACTTTAAACGTTGACAAAACCAACAAACAAAACACATGCAAAATCACAAGACACTACTTCACACAGAAACTGAAAACTTCGCTCGACACACACACACAGACACTAAAGACATCCCTCAACACACAGAGACTGAAGACATCGCTCGACACAAGGACACAATAGACACTATTGGCCAAGATACCAGTCGTCACTTTTTATTTCGGGCTCTAGTACCTCTCGGTGGTCTACGGTCATGCCATGTATATAACCAACGTCATTCTTCCAACACATCCGTCTGTCAACTGGCACAGCTCTGTATCCAACACATCCGTCTGTCAACTGGCACAGCTCTGTATCCAACACGACCGTCTGTCAACTGGCACAGCACTGTATCCAATACATCCGTCTGTCAACTGGCACAGCACTGTATCCAATACATCCGTCTGTCAACTGGCACAGCACTGTATCCAACACATCCGTCTGTCAACTGGCACAGCTCTGTATTCAACACATCCGTCTGTCAACTGGCACAGCACTGTATCCAACACATCCGTCGGTCAACTGGCACAGCTCTGTATCCAACACGTCCGTCTGTCAACACCATGTTTATCATGCATGTTGGATGCAGCAGCTGTTTTCGTGTAGTTCGCCAGGTTCCAGATCCGTTGGCAGGAATGGACACCACCCTACATATGAGATCTAGAACTGGCCACAGTACAACTTCTAAACCAAACCACCTTGTTTCGGGTGGACCAACTAGAATAACTAAAGCAATACACATTCCCGTAGCCATGGTACTCTAGCTACTCTATCTGGGCGGCGTTACTTTATCAATCTGGTCTTTAAAAGATTGTGCACATTTATCAATGTCGAGAGTTAGATCTAATGTCCGAGTGTCCTTAAATCCACATCTTGATCTGCCCACCCTGAGGTTGACATAGGTCAGCTGTCCCTGTAGTTAACAATGGCCAATATCTCCAACAATAGATTTCTCAAGTCCAAATACACGTCCAAACGTTGGAGATAATGTTTATATTGATAATATAAAATAGGTTGACCTGTGAAGTGATTAAAACAAATACATAGGTCGCAATTTTTGTCTAATTATTAAATAATAAAATTACATTTGTCATTAAAATATAAAAATGAACTACCTCCTTTTTAATTTGAACATTTTTAAGTAAGAGTAAGTGAAGTATTTAGTCAAGAAATTACAAACTAATTAATCTCTATACGTCGTTATGGACTTTTCTAGCCACGATTACAGACCTAATACTATCCGACCAACAGACCTAACTAAAGGAACATACTGTATTGTGGCTCACACTTACAGTCAATGTACTGCCATCCTATTTAACTAGTCGGCTGTCACTAAAATAAAATCATCACTCAATCTTTTGTACAAGATCCAAATATATCTGCAAGATCCCAACATCTAAAGAACAAATCATGCAACTAGCTTATATAACCTTTTTACGTTGCAAACATCAAAATTTCTTGTCTGTGAACTAATAGATATTGATTTAAACTAAACTGTCGTTCAATGGCAAACGTTGCTGTAAGTTTCAAGGGGTCACTCAAATAATTTCTCTGACAATCACAAGACTGAGAGCACTTACTGTGATCAATCAATATCTTTGATGACACCGAGTGTTTAATTCTCTGATTCTGGTCGTGATGCCCCGCGTTTAGCAGCAGTCAGTGCACACAGATGGTGAGTAATTAGTGAGTACTTCTGGCACGTGCATGTCATTAGCCGTGTGGATTAGTTGGTGCACTTTACAAAACAAACATTTTTTAAATGTCTCTTTCATCTTTACTGGTACTTTAATTTTGGTTCTATTAAAATCATGACGGGATCATTCGGTAAGTTTATACAGTTATTAAAGACGAAGGAAAGATCTAGATGATCTAATTAAAATAACTGTCGGGTACATTAATGAAAAGATTTCTATAACAGCACTTCGCCGTCTAAAGTACGATCTTTGACTTTGTCGAGTTAGAGTTGTGTTTAAAATATAGTTCATGAAACAATCGAACAGTTTGGTGTATTGACTTTATGACCGTCAGAAGAACATAAGATGGACATCATGGGATATTAAGTGGACTTCAGCGGGACGTTCAACCAGCTCAAAGATCTACCGCCATGGCTGAGGCTAAAGACGAGGGTCTGATGGACGAGGGCACTTACCGTCTGATTGTCATCGTCTGTCTTGTCATCACCCTCATCATCAGCCCCCTAGGCATCATCTTCAACATCATCAACATCGTCGTTTTCTGTAAACTTGGCTTTAAAGAGAGCACCAACATTATCCTGGTCAGTTTGGCTGTGACGGACATTTGTATTTTGATGACGTTACTGGGACTGACCGTCAACGCGAATCTGATGGCGATGGGCGGGGCCAACTTTGACATTCTCGCTGCTGTCGCCTACATAGTTCTGGGTTGGCCCAACGTTTTGACAACCCGAATATCAGGTTGTCTGACAACCTACCTAACCTTTGAAAGGTTTCTGTGTGTGGTCCTACCGCTGAGGGTCAAGACAATCTTACAGAAGAAAACGGCCTTGACATTTATCATAGCGCTGTGTCTATTCTCGATGGCCTACTCGGTTCCCATGTATCTGGCCAACAGCATCGGTCTGAGGTTCAACCCCATGTCAAACCAAACCTCTGTTGGACTTATCGTGGCGGAGAACAGCGACGTCCTTGAGGAGTTTTCTATAAGTGTCAACACAATCATCGAGTTCACGTCCTTCACCCTTGTCACAGTGTTCACTCTCGGCTTGCTTTCCTCTTATGTCAGTTCAGCCAAATGGCGGAAAGAAATTTCAGGTGTTGCTAAAAATAGCCAGTTTACAAACCGTGACCGGAAGTTGTTAAAAATGGTTCTATTAATATCCATTGTTTTCATTGGCTGTTCCCTACCTACCGTTATCGGCGATGTCGTCATGCTATTGGTCAAAGACTTCAACATCAAAGGTCGTGAAAGGTTTCTATTTATAGCATCGTGTGCCATCTTTTACAACTTTCTTGCTCTCAACTCACTCGCCAGTTTCTTTATTTACCTGAACATGAGTTCTAAATTTAGAAAATGTTTTGTTGAAATGCTTTCTGTTTTGAAGGAAACAAAAACTCTAGATACCAACCAAAAACTTTGAGCTTCAAATTATGGTGTGGATGTCATTGATGTAGGTCATCTTGTTTCAGTCAAATCAAATCTTCCTGGGGTCAGAAACTTTTTCATTCAATAAACTGGGCATTGATCAGTGATTTAGCCTGTCTGGAAGCTGATATTAACTTCAAGGAAGACATTTCATAAAATCTTGAAAAAAGAAAGGCCTCTTTCAAGCGTACAATTTTGGGGTGACAGGAACATATAATTTCAGACAAAATTATCTCAGACAAAATACTTTGGTCTTGTATAGAACGGACTCTAGAACCAGGTGTTGTTGTCGCCGAGTGTCTCGCCAGGTTAGATGTGGATGTCACACAGGTACGCTGTAGCTATCTTCACACGCTCCTCCCTTGTTGAGTTGAATGTCTGGGACTGTAGCGGAGTTTACAATCACCATGCAGCCACCAGACACCCCTCACAGCAGCTGTTGCTCAAGAGAGATTCTAAAGTTTGTTTAACTTTTTACAAACGTCCAGTGAACACAGGTTTGTCAACATTGGTCACAAAAACCGTTACAAATATTCATCACGTGGTTGACGAATTGTTTGGGATGGTATTAGTTCCAAAGCTTCAATCACAGGTTATATTGTATGACATCAGCCAACGTAAAAAAACACAGCCCATTTATGAAAAATCTCGCCCCTAATTGCAGATCTAAGATTTTTTTTATTACAAGCTATGTTTTGTGTCACAGCGTCATTCAGTTAGTATTTGTTCAAATCTTGTAACTATTTAAGCCACAATATTAGGTAATATGTTTTCAAATCTTGTAACTTTATTTTGACCAGTTTTCTATGGAGCGATTTCTTTCAAACTTTGAAGATACATACTCTATCCGTTAACAATGCAAGAATATTTAATTTTCACAGGAAAATAAATCAATTGTTATAAAAGTCTTAACCGTCAATATTTTCTGATGTGAATCCGTTGATAAGTAAAGATGTGCCAGTAATCGAGCACAGGTGGTCGACGTTCACGTGACCACAACCACGCAGGTGTCAAACTAAGTACCTGGCACTGGTTGACGACTCGCAGGTTGTCGACTTGCAGGTTGTCGACTTGCAGGTTGTCCTCAGTTACTGCCCACTGGCCGATCTGACCAAAGAGATGTAGCTACCTCTTCAGCTGGTCAGTGTCTTAATTAGGTTAGGCCTTGCTTTGTTGTAAGCAGACTTTCTAAGTTTTGTCTGATCAGACCAAATCAGACTTTCTTGTGTAACGCTAAGACTAGAGCAAATCAAACTTTCTTATGTAACGCTAACACTAGAGCAAATCCAACTTTCTTATGTAACGCTAAGACTAGAGCAAATCAAACTTTCTTATGTAACGCTAAGACTAGAGCAAATCAAACTTTCTTATGTAACGCTAAGACTAGAGCAAATCCAACTTTCTTATGTAACGCTAAGACTAGAGCAAATCAAACTTTCTTATGTAACGCTAAGACTAGAGCAAATCAAACTTTCTTATGTAACGCTAAGACTAGAGCAAATCAAACTTTCTTATGTAACGCTAAGACTAGAGCAAATCAGACTTTCTTATGTAATGCTAAGACTAGAGCAAATCAAACTTTCTTATGTAACGCTAAGACTAGAGAAAATCCAACTTTCTTATGTAACGCTAAGACTAGAGCAAATCAAACTTTCTTGTGTAACGCTAAGACTAGAGCAAATCAAACTTTCTTATGTAATGCTAAGACTAGAGCAAATCAAACTTTCTTGTGTAACGCTAAGACTAGAGCAAATCAAACTTTCTTGTGTAACGCTAAGACTAGAGCAAATCAAACTTTCTTGTGTAACGCTAAGACTAGAGCAAATCAAACTTTCTTGTGTAACGCCAAGACTAGAGCAAATCAAACAGACCTATTTGCATGACGAAGCTCCGTCAAACTGTAAACAAAAGCTTCAAAGCATGCCAGAAGCAACAGCGTGTGATTTGTCCTTTCCATTATGTCATTTTTTCCACTCATTAATGAATCATCTTAACGCCTTTCCCACCGTCAACTTTGATCTAAAGTTTTGTCGAAAATAAAAACTCGTCAACTCCACGATAACACAACGTCAGATGTTGAGAAAAAAATTTACCCGCTCAAAGACTTGTCACAAATCAAAAAATTTACCCGCTCAAAGACTTGTCACAAATCAATGAGTTAATCAGCTGTAGCTAGAGTTAAATGGGGACAACTTCAAACAAAAGCTCGGTAAAAAAAATATTGCACCACTAAATCACCTGCAAATCTGTCTGGCTTTTACTCGATAGTAATTTATTTTCTTTCATTAAAATTCTATTTTGTCCAAGTCTATCATTTTGAATAGATTTTTTTTTAGTTAAGAGAAAACAAATTTGAAAGCTTGTGAAGATTTTTTGTGAAAGTTTTACCATTGTAAGCATCAGTTTAATCGAGATCACTGTAACGGTTTGAAAATTTTTGTCAGGTTTATGAACGTTCAAAAATTCAATGTCTGGATTCGCTCCTACAAACCTGCCCTCGGCAGGTCGGCCTGTAACAGTGCAAACCTCTGTGAGACTCGGACATGAATACCTTGTTTTATGGTGTGATTTGAATTCGGATACTTCAGCTGTATTTGGGTGAGAGGAAAATTTCAGACGATGACCACTGGTCAGGTGCATGGCGTGATGGACGAAGACACTTATCGTCTGATAGTCCTGGTCTATTTCGTCATCACCCTCATCATCAGCCCTCTAGGCATCATCTTAAACATCATCAACATCGTCGTTTTCTGTAAACTTGGCTTTAAAGAGAGCACCAACATTATCCTGGTCAGTCTGGCTGTGGTGGACACCTTCATCTTGCTGACGTTACTGGGGCTGTCCGTAACTTCAACCCTCACTACCTTGGGTGTGGTGACCTGTGACGTTATGGCCTCCGTGACCTACATAATTCTGGGTTGGCCAAACGTTACAACACTTCGAATATCGGGTTGTCTGACAACCTACCTGACCTTTGAAAGGTTTCTGTGTGTGGTCCTACCACTGAGGGTCAAGACAATCTTACAGAAGAAAACGGCCTTGACATTTATCATAGCGCTGTGTGTGTTCACGATCGCGTACTCATTTCCCATTTTTATGACCAACAGCATCGGTCTGAGGTTCAACCCCATGTCAAACCAAACCTCTGTTGGACTTATCGTGGCGGAGAACAGCGACGTTCTCGAGGGTGTGGCGAGAAGTATAAATATAACTGTTGAGTTGACGTCCTTCATACTTGTCATAATTTTTACTTCCGGTTTAATTTATTCCTATAACATCATGGCACGATGGCGGAACAAGGCCACTGCCATTGTCGGAAACAAACATTTTCACAAACGTGACAGAAAGTTGATGAAAATGGTTCTTTTTATATCCATCGCTTTCATTGGCTGTTGCCTTCCTTTTGTTATTTTGGATGTCGTCATGCTATTGGTCAGAGAATTCAATGCTACAGGTCAAGAAAAGTTTCTATTTATAGTAACATGCTCCATATTTTCTAATCTTATTTCAGTCAGCTCAACAGCTAACATTTTCGTTTATCTGAAGATGAGTTCTAAATTTAGAAACGCTTTCATGGAAATATTTCCTTTTGGTAATCACGGAATCTGTAATTAACACTAGACACTGTACGCTATGCTACGTACTGAAGATGTATATGTATACATATACTCAGGCATATAGACTATTCCAATAAGCTTTTAGTGCGTCTTTTTTATTAATATTACACATTGTTATGTGATGAAAAATGTATTTTCTCGATTTTAGTGAGCATATTAAAGTTTGTTTGGAAAGACGTTTTAAATGTAGATAGTTCTTATCTTTTAACAAACCTCAACTTTTTTACTCCTGCCTGAGTAGGAAGACCCAGTTACGAAATCTTGTATGCACGTTTGTTTGTTTGTGTGTCTGTATGGGTGTATTTTTGAGTAGCGTTTCGGTTAGACGGAAAAAAATACGATCATACACGTACTTATCTTACAGCGATTTCCGGTAACTAAAAGATGTAATTTACTCTTATTTCCAGTTTTCTAAAACCGATATCTTTAGTACCTTTCAGTTAGGTGGATGAAATTTTAAAAGAACATATTAGATCCTAAACATAGTTTCTTTCAATTATTTGCAGTTTTCCAGAGAGCGGAAATGATACTTTAATCTTTCTGGTTTCCTCAGAGTCGCTACAAATTATAGTTTTATATCTTATTCGAATAACAACATTTTCAAAGAACACTTCATCTCTATAATTTTTCAATAATTGTGTATTATACCTGTGTATTTGTTGAACATAGGTACTTGTCTAACTTGTGTAAACGACCATCAAGACTTGAGGACGTTTCTTACCATAGTCTATCATGGGACCTGCCTTTAACTTGTATATTGGTTGTCTATGTCTAATTAAATATTTCAAATTAATTATCTGAGAGAAACCTGAAATACTCATTGACCGCGGTAATTGACGTCTGTAAATACAACAGCTCGATATGCCCATTTTTTTTAATTAACTAAATCACTGTATTTAATTCAATGAGTATACAAAGTAATTAGATAATTTTTACAATTATCTAATTTCATTACATAGAAGATCAGTCGACAGTATTTTAATTAGGTCAATTATGAATAGATGCAGTAATTTGAGTGATTAACAATCCTAGTTGATATTGTCACGGCACAGCCCTGGGGGTGGGGTTGGGTTGGGGGTAACGATGTCTTGTCAAAATAAATGTGTTAATTAATCTCTCGGTGTTGCCTAGTGCATCGATACTTACGCAGTAAAGCGGTATCGATTCCACATTTCTGCATGAGCCCGTCTCAGAGAACTGGTGACGTCACAGCTGTTAAAGGCGAGTACAAGAGTCGTCTGCTCAATTCTAGCAGACGCCAGGGGGGGGCTGTTGATTCGATATCACAGGCCCGATCGTTTACTGCGATATCAAAGGTTAACATTTGAGAATTGGATTCGTTCTTAAATAGAAGATACTCGAATGGTTACCACATTATTTATCGACATTTATATTTTGTCGTGCTAGACGGACATTGTAAAATGGCGTCCAATCAATCGACGGATTTAGACGACGAGCCAGATGTCGAAGTCATGGGGTCCATGTCAGACGACACTTTCTTCCAGTTTATCTTCGTCAGCCTCGTTCTTGTCCCCTCTGTTGTTAGCTCCCTTGGAATTATCTTCAACATCATTAACATCGTCGTCTTTGTTAAAATGGGATTTTCCGAAACTATAAATATCTCTCTTCTCGGCCTGGCTGTAGCAGACGTGGGGGTTCTGCTGACGATGGTTGGGTTCAGCGTCATCTACAACCCCGTGCTGCTGACGTCAGTGGCCAACATGGACGTCATCAATGCCGTCAACTACGTGGCCCTGGGCTGGCCGCACGTCCTGTTTAGCCGGATCGTCGCCTGTCTGACCACCTACATCACGTTTGAAAGGTTCCTGTGTGTCGTCATGCCTCTCAAGGTCAAGGCTATCATCACGCCCACCAAAACCGTCGCTGTCGTCACGGGAATCTACAGCTTCATAATCCTAAGCTTAATCCCTGCCTTCGTCGCTAACCAAATAGGGCTGAGGTTTAACCCGCAGTTAAACCAGACGAGCATTGGGTTAATCACGGCGCCTAACGCGAACCTCCTGGAGGACGTGAGTTTAACCATCACGAACATTGTAGAAATCTCCTCCTTTGTTTTGATCGTCATTTTCACGGCTGGTCTTATCCAAACTTTTGCCCGGACCTCGGCATGGAGAAACAAATCGTCATCCGCGTCTAAAAGTAAATCTTCATCACGCGACAAAGTTTTAATCAAAATGGTTCTATTTATATCTCTGGTCTATATCGTCTGCTCCTTCCCGGATGTGGCTGGGACGGTGGCCATGTTGTTCGTCAAGGACTTCAGCGTCAAGGGGAGAGAACGAAATGTTTTCGTCTCGGCTTTTGCCGTTTTCTTCAACATCAGCTCCCTGCACTCGACGGCAAGTTTGTTTATCTACATCAAGATGAGTTCCAGGTTTCAGCAGAACTTTGCCGCGCTCTGTGGGAAGGTAAAACTGCGATGATCTAATGATCTACTTCGTCTCAAGCCAGACTGTTGGTCGCGTTAACATGACGTCATGATGGTCAGACGGTCATCTCCAGCGTATTAGGACAAGCTGGCACCGTGTTAAAGATCCACTTCAACATAGTCAACATCTGCGTCTTCAACATTTTCATCGTTTTACAAACACTGGACCGGCTGCTTCGTTTAGAGGACATACAATCATGTTTCTAATTGTTTTACCTTGAAGTTTTTATACGGAATACCAGATCACTGTCAAAAAAGTATTCAGGGATAGCAAAGATTTTCAAAGATGTATATTGTGGACAAACATAGAGTCCACACCTGTTGGACAGCCCTAGATCCTACACTTGGAGAATCTTTGGCTTGTTCACGTCAAACGTTACCTGGAGGGGGGGGGGTTAGTGTGTCGGCCCTCCAGAGACGGATACTCTCCACAAGAGCTTTCCAGACGTCTCTGTCCTGGGCTAGTCTCTCCATCTGTCCCCAGGTGTATCCAATCTTATTAGTGTCTTCTTCTGGGTCACGTCTCTGGGTCTTTCTTGGTCTGTCTCTCCTCCTCCTGCCCTGTAGATTCTAGATGAGGGCCTGTCTTGTTATGCTGGATACAGGCTTCCTGAGTGTGTGGCCAATCCATTTCCATTTTCTCTGATCTCTACTTCAACTGGCAGTTGATTTGTCCGTTGCTATAGAACATCATTTCTGATGGTTTTAGGCCAGCGAATTCGCAGGATCTTTCTGAAGTCAGAGTTTATAAATAATTATATTTTCTTCTTCTTTGTGACAGTTATTCTCCATGTCTCAGCTCCATAGAGTAAAATAGTTTTACTCGTGTGTTGAAGATCCGGATTTTTATCCCAGAGCCCCAAACATTTTTTGTTGGTTGAAACCTTCCCCTGCCCTGCCAGTCCTTATTTTTATGTCTGCTTCTGTCCACCCTGCTTATCAACAATACTTCCAAGATAGGTGAATCAATCCACTCCTTCTAGGACTTCTTCTCTCAATGTTATAGCATGGGCCTGACCCCACTTAAAAAAAACAAGACTTAACCAAGGCAGCCGTATTCTACATCTAGATCTAGTTCTATCTTATATAATTCTATATAAATCCTTGTTTGTTTAGTTATGGCATTGGCTAATTTGGGATAAAACTTAATTTGAAATAATACTAGGGCCTATTCGCCTAAATCAAGTTTCTTACGGAGACTCAAAGTAACATATAGAACTAAATATGTCACTGATATGAAGAGACTAGATAGCTAAGATGGTATTGTAATAGGTTACCATGCGGGTGGCACGGGTTCGAGACAATGTTAAATTTTTTTAAGATGTGAATGATAAAGTTGCCTATCGGAACTTGGCGGTACACAGGGCAGGTGAAGTAGAGTTCACCTGTTTCTGTGTTCTCGTCATAAGAAGGGATTGTGTGGTCAGAGCAATAATCGACCGAAATCTTTTTTTAAACGGTAAGAACTCTGAGGTGTGTCGTCTTTTTAAATGTGGGGTCTGGTTTTTTGTGACGATAAGTGACAGACATGATGTCATTTATGGATGACCCCCGAGACCCACAGTTATCCAAAGGATGACGGGTGGTCTAGTAAAGTACTTATTTTCCACTCAATTATGCACAAAATGTTTACTTTCATTTTCTACTCGATTTTATTCAACTTTACAGGAATGTACTTTGTATAGCCAGGCACGAGTCAGACACTGGCCCCAGCCCACCCCACTCAGGGAAAAATTATATGGGGCGCCTGACAAACTGGAAACCACAGTCCGGTTTGTTCACGAAGTTGGACTTGTTGTCTGAATCCTCCATCATATTCACAATTAAGAACGAAGAAGAAGATTCAACTTTAAAAAATGCATTAAAACGTTTTTAAAACAAGCATTTATGTAATAACTAGCCATTGGTAAGGGCGTACCCGTTACACGTGAATTATAGGTCTATATATTTTAATGTTATACTTGTTTGAGATAAATATTTTATAAAAAAGTTATTGGTCTAAACGCTATGTTCTTTACCACACGTTGAACGATATTAGTGACAAAGCAAAGAAATAACTAAATAGCTAAAAAAAAATCCGACACATTTAAAATAACATAGACTACGAATACCTATTATAACAATTACAACCAAATTATATACATTATTAGTCAACACAACACCATATTAAATGCACAAGCTGATTAAGAGACTTAAAACTAAGAAGCGAATTAATTAATGCTTAATTGAGTGGAAAATAAGTACTTTACTAGACCACCCGTCATCCTTTGGATAACTGTGGGTCTCGGGGGTCATCCATATTATTTCAGATTAAATTTTATCCCAAATTAGCATTATTTCTATTTAAATTTTATCCCAAATTAGCCAATTCCATAGCTAAACAAACACAGATTTATATATTATAATTAAGGCATAAAATAGTTTAATTTAGCAACTCATTATTGGCATAGATTCTAGATCTAGAGTCTAGATCTAGAATCTACGGCTTAAATCTAGTTTTTCCGTAGCTCTAGATCTAGATCTAGAATCTAAATAGATAAAGTAAATTGTAAAAGTTTAGGCCGAGAAAATTTTATACATTTCATAGCGTACGTCTTGATAAATAGATCTATTTCAAATTTGAATGAAATAGCTTATTTCTTTATATTCTAAAATTGGAAGATGACGCCATTAGTTTTGTGTTCTTTCCTTAGTTTAAACATGTGTCACGTGACGTCATTGTTTATTGCGTTCTTGTCACGACAATAAACGCTATAGTTAGAAATCTGTTTTTACATTCGAATATGCCTTTATTTTTATGTTCCTTCTTTAAACAAAATTTAGTTTATGCATTTATAACATCCACCATATTATTTTCAACAAGTCTGTACTTTTAAATTCTCCATTAATCACTGAACATACTGATGACGTTGCCAAAAAATAGTGCGGACAGACAAAGAGAAAGAGAGAGAGTAAAGTGCGCACATGGGCTTTTATATATTAGGATGCATGATTTTCTTTACTTAAGTAATAATATACTATTGTTTCAATAACTATAAAGAAAATTCTCGAAAATCTCGAGTTCGAATCCGGGCTTAAGTTCACCTGAGTCACTCAGCTCTGATGGATACCTAACTCACGTTAGAGCTAAAAGACGGCTGGGCATAGTGCTGACCATACCATTCCCTTCATCTGCCCCGTTTGTATAAAAATATACGATAAAGTTTAGGGGAAATCACTCCTGCTTTATTTTTAACGTTTTTCGTAAATCTGAATTAAAAAATACCTATGCTAATTTTCTGAAGAACGTACGCAACTTTCAGTACATTTCTAAAAAATTTAAGGATTCTATAGTACGTGACTACACTAGCAATCTTTGATAATTAACGAGCCATTTGTTTTTTAATATTTCTTCTGGGCGCCACGTTTTATCCGCAGGTTTTAGATTGTAGAAAATCGTATCGTTCTTACATGATCGCCAATATTTACCAAACATTTTTTCTAGCTCGTGAGTACAACCGCATGATTGGATGTAGTTGATTATCTCTCGTCTGACTGGCGAATCAGCTACAGCTATATTATGTTTGGTTAGCCAGGTATGGAGCTGTAACTGTGTTGACCTAGCCAGCGATATAGCTGTCGCCAATTTTTGCTAGCCAGCGATGTAGCCGTCGTTGTGTCAGGAAAGAGTGACAATGGTTAACGAAATCTAAGGTTCTAATTTAGCAGATTAATTTGTGTGACGTCGACATGTTTTTTTTTAAAGAAAAACCAATTAGGAGATAAAATCTTTTTTCTGTGATTCCAATTTGTATTTCAAATTCTTTTAAATTTGAAAATTAATACTTGTACTACTAATTATCTTAAAATCAATGTTGTTGTTTCAAAGAATGTAATTTGAGGTTAGGTTGTTTTGTTTTTTTGCAAACTAACCTACGTAATAGTCAAAGCACATAGACAGTGAGTAATTAGTGCGTCTTTGCGTTGTCATTCATTAATTTAGGTGATCAAAGAACGGCACATGAGAGGGGGGGGTAAATTTTAAAATGTGTCTTGAATCAGTGGCATTTATTTAGATCAAAATTAGTGTGTTGTTGTTATTAAGTAGCTTTGTAACTGCTCAGTAATTTTACATCAATAAGTTGTAGCACAGTGCTGAATGGTCTGGATATTCTGATTAAAGCTTCGAGTGAATGCATACGGGTAATTAACAAATGGTTCTGTAAAGACGTACTCAATGAAAGAAAAACGTTGTACATATAATAACATTTGGAAAATCTCATATGAACTAAACGTTTAAAAATAAACAACCAGATTATACAAACATTGTATTTTTATGCTATAATCGTGAATGAAATGAGATAAGCTTATTGAAACTAGATCTTAAACACAATTTTCATTTTAAAGAATCAGCCTCAACAGAAAATATAATAAAGACGAAGGTCTGATGGACGAGGGCACTTATCGTCTGATTGTCCTCGTCTGTCTTGTCATCACCGTCATCATCAGCCCTCTAGGCATCATCTTCAACATCATCAACATCGTCGTTTTCTGTAAACTTGGCTTTAAAGAGAGCACCAACATTATCCTGGTCAGTTTGGCTGTGACGGACATTTGTATTTTGATGACGTTACTGGGACTGACCGTCAACGCGAATCTGATGGCGATGGGCGGGGCCAACTTTGACATTCTCGCTGCTGTCGCCTATTTAGTTCTGGGTTGGCCCAACGTTTTGGCAACCCGAATATCAGGTTGTCTGACAACCTACCTAACCTTTGAAAGGTTTCTGTGTGTGGTCCTACCACTGAGGGTCAAGACAATCTTACAGAAGAAAACGGCCTTGACATTTATCATAGCGCTGTGTCTATTCTCGGTGGCCTACTCGGTTCCCATGTATCTGGCCAACAGCATCGGTCTGAGGTTCAACCCCATGTCAAACCAAACCTCTGTTGGACTTATCGTGGCGGAGAACAGCGACGTCCTGGAGGAGTTTTCTATTAGTGTCAACACAATCATCGAGTTCACGTCCTTCACCCTCGTCATAAGTTTCACCGTTGGACTCAGTACATCATATTTAACCGCAACAAAACGTCGAGATCAAATGTCAACAGTTGCTAAAAATAGCCAGTTTACAAACCGTGACCGGAAGTTGTTAAAAATGGTTTTATTAATATCTATTGTTTTCATTGGCTGTTCCCTACCTACCGTTATAGGCGATGTCGTCATGCTATTGGTCAAAGACTTCAACATCAAAGGTCGTGAAAGGTTTCTATTTATAGCATCGTGTGCGATCTTTTACAACTTTCTTTCTCTCAACTCATTCGCCACTTTCTTTATTTATTTGAACATGAGTTCTAAATTTAGAAAAGGTTTTGTTGACATTTTGTTGTTCATAAGGAAACACCAGACGTAAACAAATAGTCGTATCCCTATAGCACAAGTATCTTACATTATAGCACATGTATATTACATTGTATCACACGTTTCTGACATGACAACACATGTATCTTACATCATAAGAGACCCGTCCTATGTTGTACTAAATGTTTGTTTAATGTGGAGACCATTCAGAAGTGTTGTAGTAAATGTTCCTAGCCTTAACTACATCGACTGGCTCTACGATTGTAAACATTTTCGTGAACACAGCTCACCAGACTGGTCAGGTGATAGGTTCTGGCTAGTTATCTCCCCTTCTGTTATTCAATATAGTAATCTTTCAAGTGATTTAATTTTGTTATCTCTCCTTAGTTTCGAAACCATTTAATTAACTTTTAATAAAAAATTAAATTAAAAAATAGCTACTTTTGTATTTTATTAAAGATTGACGTATCTGGAAAGTTTGAACGAAATCACTGCATTAGAAGTGGGTCAAAATTGAGTTACAACAGTTTCCAAAAACCCACAAACAAACAGACGTTGCGAACTAAGTGAAAGCTTGTAAAAAAAATTCTAATAGCAAGTTTTTAAATATTATATTCTAATATAACACTACGGAGGATGGCAACTCGGGACATAGACACTATTTTTAATCCATTTTTAATTACTTAAACTTTTTATAATAGAATAGAATCTCGAAAAAAAAAAGAATTGCACACCAAGTGAACGCCAAATAAAATGTCCACAATAGTGCGGGATATTATTAGTACATTATAAATTCACATACGTTTTTTTTTAGAGAGAAATCGGAAATAGCGTAAATCACCACTTCAGGTCGACGGAAATACTCAAAATTTAATAGAAGGCAGAGAATTAAAACTTTTACTTACATGTGAAATTTCATTTATCTATCTATCTGAAATAGTACTCAAGTTATAGGCTTTTGAAAAACTCAATGTGAAAAAGTTCCACTTCCGGTTATCGGAAATCGCTCAAAAGTTGATACGGATCTACGATTTTGATAAAATACTTATATATGAAATGTTATCAACCTAGCTGTAACGGTACTCAAGTTATCGTGTTTACACACATACACACACAGACACACAAACACACAGACATACGGACAAGATTGCAAAATTATGTTTTTCCGACTCATGGAGCCCTAAAACGTCGAGATTTGCAAAAAAATCTCGATTTTTACAAGCTTTTATTTAACTCACTTCCTCTGTCTGTCAGTCGTCAGTCTAGATGGAAACGCAGGAGTGAAAATTCGGAAACTTCTACTTGACCGACACGATTCACAGTTGGCACGTGGGTCAAGACATGAAGACAATGCAATCTGAAACTAAATTTGACTTAATTGGATGCCTAATTAATTTTTTATTAATTAATTAAAATTTGGACCGAATTAGTAGGCATGTCTAGCCAACCACACCACACGCGTCATCACCTTCAATAGCTGCGCCATCACGTAATGGCTGCGTTCAAAAACCATTGCGCGCCTACTGAACGTGATGTTCAGTAGGCGCGCAATGGTTTTTAGTCATGTAACTCTATTGTAAATAAAACATGTAAAGTACTGAAAAAAAAATTCATAAAAAACGTTTTAATAACAAGCTTTTATGTAACAATGCACTAAAAAGTAGAAAATAAATTATAGACTACTATTTAAATAACTATAAAGAAAAGCGTGGGTGTCTTCCTTAACATTATTAAAGGTATCCAATAGATACTAAAGTGACCCACGCTTTTCTTTATAGTTATTTAAATAGTAGTCTATAATTTATTTTCTACTTTTTAGTGCATTGTTACATAAAAGCTTGTTATTAAAACGTTTTTTATAATTTTTTTTTTACTTTCTTTTATAAACGTGGTATAGAGAAAGTCTTGTAATCGTGAAAAAAAAATCGAGGTTTTTACAAATCTCGACGTTTTACACCTCACTGATACGGAAAAACATAATTTTGCAATCTTGTCCGTATGTCTGTGTGTCTGTCTGTCTGTGTGTGTGTGTGTGTGTCTGTCTGTGTGTAAACACGATAACTTGAGTACCGTTATAGCTAGGTTGATGAAATTTCATATATAAGTATTTTATCAAAATCGTAGATCCGTATCAACTTTTGAGCGATTTTCGATAACTGGAAGTGGTACTTTTTCTATTTTGAATTTTTAAAAAGCCTATAACTTGAGTACTATTTCAGATAGATAAATGAAATTTCACATGTTAGTAAAATATCTAATTCTCTACCTTCTTTCAAATTTTGAGTAATTTCCGTTGAAGGGAAGTACTAATTTACGCTATTTCCGATTTCTCAAAAAACGCATGTAAATTTAAAAAGTACTAATAATATTGCTCACTATTATGCACATTTTGTTTTGGCGTTCGCTTGGTGCGCAATTCTTTTTTCTTCGGGATTCTATTCTATTTTTAAAATTTTAAGTAATTAAAAATCATGTTTATATTCCAAGTTATATAAGAATATTCGAGAAAGTTTAGGGGAGATCACTCCCGGTTTATTTTTTCACGATTTCAAGACATGCTCTATACTTCGTATATACGAGAAAGTAAAAAGTTAACTGGTGGGGTTGCTGCACCTGAATGCTACACCTAGTTACTGTGACATTTGGGAGAGATATTTACAGCCGTCCTTTGTCTAACTCTAGATCATACAGACTTTAAAACAGGGAAACAAAGAAATTATGTAGATAGTTATGTGTGCGTGTTGAATGTCAAAAGTTAAAGTGTGTTCCCTTGTAGATGCTTTCTATTGTGACGTCAGATTGTGACTCAAATTTATGTCATTCGACCCCATATGTAAAAGCCTAATGAAATCTAAATTCTGAAAATAAATTGTGAATTAATTCTGTATCTGGTGTCGTTGTTCTAAGTTTTAACCTAGTTCTATGCCTCATTCTGAACACACGACTGAATGAGTGAAACATCTGAGATTCTAGCAACATCATCAAGTCGAGCGCCTGACAAAAAGCCCTTGAGAAAAACAAACTCCACCACATAGCATTACCTAACAGCACTCAACTGGTTGTAACGGTACCACCATGTTTAATTACCACTGCAAACACATACCTGATCTTTTTTCTTAACACCTCCCCCCTTCCACCCCCTTCGTGAACGTTATTTTAGCACATTGACCTCTGGTCATCTGCTTTAGCAGCTAATCACGAGACGGTATGGCGCAAATGTGTGGTGCAGGTCAGCTGACCACTCAGAGCGATTAGACTGGACACGTGATACACATACAACAGGTGCTTATCTAAAAGGGGAGGGTCAGGGATGCGCTCCCTCTTATTAATTTTGTCCGTTTGTGGGTTCCTCTGTATATATATATATATATATATATATATATATATATATATATATATATATATATATATATATATATATATATATATATAACGAAGGTTTTAGATCCTACTGTCCATCACTACAACTGATTAGAAAGACAAAATCCTGTCCTTCCAAAGCCTGATGGTAACTTGAACAGCGAGATAAAACACACTATCAATAACATACGAATAAAACAACACTACAAACAAAACACACTATCAATAACATACGAATAAAACAACACTACAAAAACAAAACACACTAGCAATAACATACGAATAAAACAACACTACAAAAACAAAACACACTATCAATAACATACGAATAAAACAACACTACAAAAACAAAACACACTATCAATAACTTACGAATAAAACAACACTACAAACAAAACACACTATCAATAACATACGAATAAAACAACACTACAAAAACAAAACACACTAGCAATAACATACGAATAAAACAACACTACAAAAACAAAACACACTATCAATAACTTACGAATAAAACAACACTACAAACAAAACACACTATCAATAACATACGAATAAAACAACACTACAAAAACAAACCACACTATCAATAACATACGAATAAAACAACACTACAAAAACAAAACACACTATCAATAACTTACGAATAAAACAACACTACAAACAAAACACACTATCAATAACATACGAATAAAACAACACTACAAAAACAAAACACACTATCAATAACATACGAGTAAAACAACACTACAAAACAAACCACACTATCAATAACATACGAATAAAACAACACTACAAAAACAAAACACACTATCAATAACTTACGAATAAAACAACACTACAAACAAAACACACTATCAATAACATACGAATAAAACAACACTACAAAAACAAAACACACTATCAATAACATACGAGTAAAACAACACTACAAAAACAAAACACACTAGCAATAACATACGAATAAAATAACATGAATCAAGTTACCATAACTTTGTGTATGAATTGTTCATAAAACCAGATTTACATTATCAACCATTGTGTGTTGAATGAAACACTAGTTCTTCATAATGGTGCGACAATAATGTCTCGAGAATATAAGAACACACAGAAGATAAACTGACCAGAATATTCTTTGTTTGAATACAGACGTAAACATAGTTAATGTTTCAATCAAATACTTTATAATTAAGTTAATTTATCTTTGTATCCATGCCGATCAGTCTTTCCTCTGTGATTGAAGCTGTTCTATTCACCCCTGTTTGTGAAATATGTGATCTCAAATGTACTTGCGACGTTTTATTAATTCCGTAGGTCATTGACACACTTTTTAATTAATTCTAACAATGACAAATATTTACCTACACCTCATTAAACGCAGAAATTAAATCAACGACGTCGAGCAATCGTATTGACTAATGTTTGTGTGTTTTTGTTTGGAATTTTTTAAAAACTGTCTTTCACAAGAAACTAAACCCAAATGTCACCTCTCTTTGGACGAGTTAATTGGTGGATAATTATTAGTTGGTTCGCTTTCTTTTTTTACACGCAGACATTTTAATTATGTTTGAAGTAGATTGTGCCAAATTAAAAATTGAGCTTTCTTACGTGTAAAAGGGAGGTGATCCAATTAAAGCTAATTATAATTAGATGAGAATCACTGAATAAACATGTCTGCCGGCCAGGTATAACGAGGTCTTTAGGATCCAGAGTTTAAAATTGTTTCGTTTCATCGTTACTCAGTACGCAACCATTCATTGATTTTAACAAACATTTAAAACTATCGGTTTTGAGACACATTTGAAACTGTCAACTTGAAGACACATTTCAAGACTGTCTCCAGTATAAACCTGCCCTTGGGTTACCGTCTGCCGGTTACAAATCTTAAAACAGTGAGTGCAGTGAGTGACTTGATGGACTATCGCAGACGAGAGAGGAAGTGGCCAGAGTATTGTTGAACTTTCTGGGTTGCCAGACATCATAGATTCTATTGTTTAGTTTTAATCAAAATCTCGTACACATACAGTGTTCATTCGGTGATACATTTTTGTCTAACTTTTGTACACATAAGGATATATTCGGTGATACAGTTTTTTGTCTAACTCTAGTACACATAACGCAGCTTCAAGTATATGATTTAGTTGTAAGTTCCTCCTTCCCCCCCCCCTACCCCTACACTTACATTTAACAATAAAGACCGAACACTACCAACACAATGAGTGATTTAGATAACCGCATTTAAACTGCTGCAAAAATAAAAATCAACTGACACAAGAACAGCAATTGTGTATTTAGTTTACCTGTAGGTGACGTCATCACAGTTTAGTCTACCTGAAGGTGACGTCATCACAGTCTAATCTACATGTAAGTGACGTCATTACAGTCTAGTCTACCTGTAGGTGACGTCATCACAGTCTAATCTACATGTAAGTGACGTCATTACAGTCTAGTCTACCTGTAGGTGACGTCATCAGTCTAGTTTAGCTGTTGTTGTGGCTCAAGATCGAAATGAACCACAGCTACTGTGAGGTTGGGAGTCATCCCGACCCCCAGACGGGGGAGACGGGACTGATGGGCGTCACGACGTACCAGAACATTGTGCTGGTCAGTTTGGTCATCTCCAGCTTCCTCAGTCCGCTGGGCATCGTCTTCAACATCATCAACATCATCGTCTACGTCAAGCTGGGCTTTAACGAGAGCACCAACATCATCCTGGCCAGCCTGGCTGTGGCCGACACGTGCATCCTGCTCACCCTGTTGGGCTACACGGTCAACTCCAACCCGCTGGTCGTCTTGTCCGCACCCAGCTTTGACATCCTCGCGGCGGTTGGCTACCTCGTGCTGGGCTGGCCCAACGTTCTGGCAACCCGAATAGCGGGTTGTCTCACAACCTTTCTGACCTTTGAAAGGTTCGTGTGTGTGGCCTGGCCTCTGAAGGTCAAGGCTCTGGTTACCAAGGCAACGGCTGTCAGATTTACTCTCGGGCTGTTTGTCTTCTCGGTGGCCTACTCGGTTCCCATGTATCTGGCCAACAGCATCGGTCTGAGGTTCAACCCCATGTCAAACCAAACCTCTGTTGGACTTATCGTGGCGGAGAACAGCGACGTCCTGGAGGGCGTGTCCCGCAGCATCAACATCAGCATCGAGTTCCTGTCCTTCTCGCTCGTCATTCTCTTCACGGGAGGCCTCATTCAAGCCTTCTTCCGGTCAACCCAATGGAGGAACCAAACTGCTTCCGTTACTAAAAATAGCAACTTTTCAAACCGGGACCGGATGCTGTTGAGGATGGTTCTATTAATATCCTTTGTTTTCATTGGCTGTTCTCTCCCCCTGGTTGTTGCTGACGTCGTGATGCTATTGGTCAAAGATTACAATGTCAAGGGCAAAGAGCAGAATCTATTTATAGCAACCATCTACATCTGCTTCAACCTCAGCTCCATCAACTCCACCGTCAACATGTTCATCTACCTGAAGATGAGTTCTAAATTTAGAAACGTTTTCTACCAGTTGTTTCATCGTGCTAAGAAAGGTTTACCCAAGGGACGGACTGTGAAAATAGTTGTCTCTTAAATGTTGGCTCCAAGCCGAAATGTCGGAAACTTTTTTCGGAAACTTTAGTGTCGGAATCTGTGTCGGAACTTCTTTAATGTCGGAAACTTCTATGTCGGAACTTTATTGTCAGACTTTATTGTCGGAATGTTACTATAAAAATAACGCAACACTTTCGACTATGAAATTACCTATAAAAAAACTTTCTTGAAGGACTTGAGAAAACTGTCAATAAATATCACACAGGTCAATGGACTGAATGTTGGTGTAGTTAGGTCAATGCTAACTTCAACCCAACCCCACTATAAAAAGTGGTTTTTAACCTCAGTACAGATGTAAAGATATTGTAATAAAGAAAAATAAAATTGATGACTACATGTGTACTATCACTTTACATACAGCTTCGATTGATTGATTTTTTGCGAGTTTATATCTTTCGTTAGTTCGCTGTGTCTTGTATCGTGATGGAGACAAATTATCCCCAGTTAATTAACACCATAACAAACGTGATGAATCTACTCTGCTAGAACAACGTGAGGTGTTCTATAAATGTGAAGCGAGTGGTTAAAAGTTGGTTCTCTTTAACACACGCCTCTGTCATACAGTGAATGAAACATTATTTCGGCTGATGGAATCGATAAAGTTGTGTTCGAAAACTTGTTAAAATAGAAAGAAACATTTTCAAACTTCGATAACAAAACATAACTTTCAGAATGGCCTTCTAAACAGGAGTAGAAGAAAACTAAAAATGTTCGATTCATTAGTTCGGTCACTTCCAGTGTTGAGATGAAGAAAGTCAACTTGTTCAAAACATTTTCAAGAAAATGTCTTTAAATATTTGTTTCTTCTCAATTAAACTTTTGTCGTATAAAACCAAATGTGGAACAGTAAAGTGGAACTAAACAAGACATGGTACTGACATCCGAGCTTTAAAGTTTGGATCACAGGACACACAGGTGCCACAGACAGGTGTCACACACAGGTGCCATAGACAGGACTAGGAACTGTTTCACGTCTTCTTCTAATATCTTAGCTAGATCAGTAGACATTGTACTAATCCTTTAATTAAACAATCGAATAATTTTTTTTTTAATTCTAGTTGCTCATTATTCTAACTGGTGTAATACTGAAATGTTTAGCATAGTTATTAGACAGACAATTACGTGTAATGGGTTAAGTGTAATGATACGATGTGAGTGACCTCTAAAGATGTAATTACAGCACAATGGAATCATTACACCTCATTAAAACTAGTTTTTTAATGATACCGTTGTGATGGGACCAATAGGCTTCTATGTTTAAAGAGCAATAATTGTTGTGTTTTTAATTATTTTTCCAATTGATGTTCTATGTGATGTTCTATGTGATGTTAATAGCTGATGTCTGAAAGTTAACAAGAAACACAACTCGTAATTACAGCCATACAGTCCCCCCCCCCCCCATACACAAGCGCAGTAATTACAGCCAGTTCTCCCCCCCCCCACGCTGTGGTCTGCACCAGCCATCTTGTTTTCCCATTGTCCGGAAACTTACAAAGCCTCACACCATCGACCCCCATGGTTCATGTATTTCAGTATCTTTAGATGTGCGATCTCTGGATCTGTAGTTTTGAAACCCATCAAACAAGTAACAGACTGGAAGACTGGCTAAGTCTGGCTGGATGACGTGGTGCGTCTGACGGTCCACGTGACATGTGGGTACCTTGTGGGGGTCATTCGCACAGGTGTGTTCGTGTGCGTCACACCTTTTCTGTACTAAAGGTGTTCTAAAGAATTGCTATAGACACAGGTATGTTCCGATAGTGTTGAAGGTGTGCACACCACCGTTGTACTCACCTATCTAAAAATAGAACTGTTTTATTCTCAGATTAAAAAAAAAGTATTTATTTTACTCTGGTCATAATGGAGATATACCCATAGGTGGTTTCAATCACTTCAAAACTCTACTGCCCCTGTACGGCAAAGTTTCCTGTTACACGAATGCCCGTGTGGCATGAAGACATTTAACCTTCATCTTGACCTTCACAAACACAGACCCGCTGTCTTAATGGAGACAGTCAGCTGTAACTCAAGTTCAAGGACAGGCGAGAATGACGACCTGGTGAGTGACGTCACTTTGTACATCTTCACCTACGTCAACTACGTCATCCTGGGCGGAAGTATCGGGGTGGTGGGCGTGGCCCTAAACGTCATCAACATGGTGGTCTTCGCACGTCTGGGCTACAGCGAGACCACCAACATCACGCTGTCTGCCATCTCAGCCGCCGACACGGGGGTGCTGCTGATGATGCTGGGCTACGCCACTGTCTACAACCCCGGGGGTGCTGCTGATGATGCTGGGCTACGCCACTGTCTACAACCCCGCCGTCCTAGCCAGTATTGATGACGTCGGCCTGATCAACGCCATCAACTACGTCATACTCGGCTGGCCGCACGTGCTCTTCGGCCGGATATCCGGCTGTCTCACGGCATTCATCACGGTCGAGAGGTTCATCGCCGTGGCGCACCCTCTGCAGGTGAGACGGTTGGTGACGCCGGCACGCACGGCTGTCGTCTGCCTCGTCATGGTCCTGGTGCCTCTGCTCGCCACCACCCCGGCGTTCGTCGGGTTCAGGATCGGGTTGACCTTTGACCCCAGCAGCAACTCGAGCATGCTGGGACTGGTGGCGGAGACGTCCAGCGGTCTCCTGGAGACAATCTCCCTGCTGACCAACGTCTTCATACAGTTCCTGACCTACTTCCTCGTCATGGGCTTCGCTTCCGGTTTGATCAAAGTCTTTTTGAAAAACTCAGAGTGGAGAAAATCAACGTCAACGGCTTCCCAAAATTCGTCCTTGACCTCTAGAGACACGAGGCTGGTCAAGGTCATAGCCCTGATCTCCGCGGTGTTTGTCGTCTGCTCCACGCCTGCTGTTCTGGGGTCGGTGGCCATGATGTTGGTCCGTGAGTTCAGCGTCACGGGGCGCTACAAGAATCTCTTCGTGGCCTCGTTTTCAACTTTCTTCTTGCTGGAGTCCGTCAACGCCACGGTCAACTTTTTTATCTACCTCAACACAAGTTCAAAGTTCAAGGTCGAGCTGGGCTCAATGATCGGCCTCAAGTTGAAATAGGTCACAGGTTATGTCGTCACACCCTGATCACGTGGCTTTCAAACGACCATTTCCGGTCGAAAGTGAACATCGTCGCTACACGTCGTGCTGGGTATAAAAACATCCCCCCGCCTCTCACCAGACCTAATAGAAAAAAACGGATATAGCTTATATAGAAAAATACTTTCAGTGTCTGCAACCCCACCCTCACTCCCCACCCCGAAAGTTTCAAGTGCTTACAGTATGAGCGTAGAATGTAAACATCGGATATATACAAACTAGTCAGGCTGAATAAGTTTTCCATACCAATATCGGCCACCTATTAGCGATCGACTCCCCCCCCCCCCCCACAGGGTGGTTCAAATTACTTTTTAATGATTAATTTAATTTCTAATTAGGTTTAAAAATTAGATCTTCTTGCATTGTCTGGAAAAGCATGGATATTGTTGCATTAGAAGTGGGTCGAAACTGAGTTACAAGATTCAACCACAAACCAACACACAAACCTACAGACAGACAGACAGACAATGGTACCTCTGTAAAAGGTTTTTATTTGCCTTAGAACGTTTGCCTTGCATTGTTCGCCTTAGTATCACAGTTTTTATCATCGACTTGGGAGGCCTGATACAGATTTACAATTGTAATACTTCTTTCTAACATGTACTTTTATTCATTTAAAATGATTTATTTTTACATATTACAAAACGTCAATTTCATATTTTAATTAGTCCAGAATATTTAAATATTTAATTAAATGATTCTTTAAAGTTCTATTGAGAGTTAGGAGAGGTCTGGCGGAGTATGAAGAACAAACGACTTGAATAAAAAAACTAACATAAGTTTATTTAATTTGGGTGGGAAGGGGTGGCTAATCAGGTTTAGCGATTAATTGTTTTTTTAAATAAGCGAACACTTAAAAGGTAGGCTTCCAATAGTCGTTTAAAATAAACATGTTTCTTGTCTTTAAAAACAGGTTACAAACTCACTAATGTTTTGCTAATTTAAAAGACAATAAATTTATAAATTTAAAATTTGATGATTTTAAGTATTCATTAATTTGTTATAGAAACTTAAAATGAAAAACACAAATTTCGAAGTTAAAAATAACCGCCTTGATTGCAACTCTGTGTAGACTTACATTTTCACATTTATAGAAATTTTCGGCAATCTGTTATCTGTTGTCTCCCTTATTTTGTTTTAAGTTAGGTGTAATGGAATAAATCCCGCAAGCAAGTAGCTGTAGCAAACATCGTCCACACATTTAATACAGTGAGTTGTCTGCCCAGTCACGTGATGGCCGGCACTTGATGAGTCTGACAGTAGATGATGGTAGTGTCGTTTGTGATGGTAGTGTCGTTTGTGGTGGTAGTGTCGTTTGGGATGGTAGTGTCGTTTGGGATGGTAGTGTCGTTTGTGATGGTGGTGTCGTTTGGGATGGTAGTGTCGTTTGGGATGGTAGTGTCGTTTGGGATGGTAGTGTCGTTTGTGATGGTGGTGTCGTTTGTGATGGTGGTGTCATTTGTGATGGTGGTGTCGTTTGTGGTGGTAGTGTCGTTTGGGATGGTAGTGTCGTTTGGGATGGTAGTGTCGTTTGGGATGGTAGTGTCGTTTGTGATGGAAAGTTCAGCAATGCATTTTAGACCAATTACAGACAGTCAGACATGTTTTCGTTACTTTTCTTTAGCACGTAGAAAAAAAAGTATTTGACGTGTTTTAAACATGAGTGTGAAACATCAGTGTGAAACATCAGTGTGAAACATCAATGTGAAACATCAATGTGAAACATCAGTGTGAAACATCAGTGTGGCTGATAAGTGAGACAGAGAAAGGAATGTGGTTGCCCCACACTTAATCAGCCACACAAAAGTTCAATTTGCTGCGACACACGCTAGATTTTAGGTTGTCACAGATTTTATATCTTCAACTTACATCAAGCACAAATAATTAGCACCTAGTTATAAAGTACGTAAACTATTCCTGTACAATTGAATTTGGTTCAATTTTAAAACTCAAGGGAGGTAACTGAAATTAATATAAAAAAATATTCTTTTGGTGGTTTCCCCTATCAGTATTTTTAATGAACATTTTTTATTTTGGACCGACCTGATCACGTGTTTCCATCAGAACGTCTGAACCAGCCTGACGTTGTTTCCTCAATTCTTTCACACAGTAGCGGTGCTACCAGCGTGCTATAGTATTTCTCTATTCACTCCATTGTTTTACTGATTCTAAGTTTTTTTTTGTGGTACATCTGGGTCACTACATAGACTTAGTGGCCATTTTTGTTGTAGTATTTTCATGGGGGGGGGGGGGGGGTAGTTTGTATCATTAAGAAATTTGATTTTGTGAAAGCGCTCTCAAACGTCCATTCTTTCACACTGCGGAAAACAAAGTATATTACGTTGTTCTTTAATAAATACATCATTCATTACAGTTTATTGCAAAGTTTATATGGGGATCGAATTAATTAAACGGGATCGTCTAGGAAAAATAAATATATTTGTCTAGGTCTAGTTGTTTTTAAAACTTGACGACATGACTCCTCTTATACACACTAGTGAAATATTTTAACTGTAGAAATTCTAAACAATTTTAAGAAACACCTTAAATACGAATTTACCAAAGGAAGTTAATGTTTCAAACGAACATATTTCCTGAGCGACATGGGTAAACGCTTTCATCCTTGACGGCTTAATTATCGCGTCACTAGAGAAATTATTTGATCAGCCTTGAACTTTTGACTTCCTGCTATAGCTAGAACTGACGAACACCTTAACACCCTGACCTACCACCTTCACCTACACCTTCCAGAATGACCTACCACCATGACCTACTACCCTGACCCACCAGAATGACCTACACTGTACCAAAAGACTCTGCGCTAAATTAAAACATGTTGTTCATAACAAAACCAAAGAAACAAACCCAACACAACCCAACACAACCCAACGCAACCCAACGCAACCCAACACAACCCAACACAACGCAACCCAACACAACGCAACACAACGCAACCCAACACAACGCAACCCAACACAACGCAACCCAACACAACGCAACCCAACACAACCCAACACAACGCAACCCAACGCAACCCAACGCAACCCAACACAACGCAACACAACGCAACCCAACACAACGCAACCCAACACAACGCAACCCAACCCAACGCAACCCAACACAACCCAACACAACGCAACCCAACACAACGCAACACAACGCAACCCAACACAACGCAACCCAACACAACGCAACCCAACACAACGCAACACAACGCAACCCAACGCAACCCAACACAACGCAACACAACGCAACCCAACACAACGCAACACAACGCAACCCAACACAACGCAACCCAACACAACGCAACCCAACACAACGCAACACAACGCAACCCAACGCAACCCAACACAACGCAACACAACGCAACCCAACACAACGCAACCCAACGCAACCCAACACAACCCAACACAACCCAACACAACGCAACCCAACCCAACACAACGCAACCCAACCCAACACAACCCAACACAACCCAACACAACCCAACACAACCCAACACAACCCAACACAACCCAACACAACCCAACACAACCCAACACAACCCAACCCAACACAACCCAACACAACCCAACACAACCCAACACAACCCAACCCAACACAACGCAACCCAACACAACGCAACACAACGCAACGCAACCCAACACAACGCAACCCAACACAACGCAACACAACGCAACCCAACGCAACCCAACACAACGCAACACAACGCAACCCAACACAACGCAACACAACGCAACCCAACACAACGCAACCCAACACAACGCAACCCAACACAACCCAACACAACGCAACCCAACGCAACCCAACACAACCCAACACAACCCAACACAACCCAACACAACCCAACACAACCCAACACAACACAACACAACCCAACCCAACACAACCCAACACAACCCAACACAACCCAACACAACCCAACCCAACACAACGCAACCCAACGCAACCCAACACAACCCAACACAACCCAACCCAAGCTGTACTCACACCAAATCTTTTACACCAAATCTTCTATAGCTGTACTCACACCAAATGCTGTATAGCTGTATGTACACCAAATGTTGCACACAAAATGTTGTATAGAAATCTAGAGCTAACCATAGCTTAAACTGGAGCTCAAGCTTAAAACATATATTTGTGTTAAATACAAGGTTGAGGCTAAAGTGTAAGGTCAAAGATACTTTCCAAAGGTCATACAGATCGTTTAATATGAGTGAATTAATGATCGTTGAACCAAGGTCTGCCTCAAAAGATGAGAAACTTTGATACCAAAATAAGAGTGGACTAGCGGGGGCGACCAGTACACGATACATCTGTTTGGGGGAGCCACTGACCGGCTCTAGACAGGACATGGCTAGAGCTGTGACGTCATCCACTGACAGACTGACCAGTGACGTGCTGCACGTGTCATAGAACAGCTTGGTCAAGACCAGGATGTTGATGACGTACAATATTACGACAACTGGGCCAATGACGTCAGCCATGACGGTGTAGATGATCATACTGAATCAGTGAGACTAGCTGTATGTAATTCAAACCTCATTAGCTCACCAAATACCAAATCCACGGAAAGTCTGGATTTTATTGTCCACAGAAAGTATAAAGTTTAGTGTCCACGGAAAGTCTGAAGTTTAGTGGGGTGCAACCAAAAAGGACCGTTGCTACGGACATCACGTGATATTATTCAGCTGCCCCAGCCGAATCCCAGGACTGTGAGAATCTCGCTGATACTTGAGGGAATAAAAAACTCAGGTTGGGTTTTGTTTTCTCCATTCTCTAATGTTGGTGTTGTCTCCATTCTCTGTTGTTGGTGTTGTCTCCATGACTTCAGATACCAACAACTTGCAACAGCTTGTAGTGTCGCAGGCACCTATCTCAGACAGGTAACTGTGACAGGTAACTGCCAGTTACCTGTCCAGTCAATACAAGGGCTGGTATAAAAACACACTTGTAAAATCTTTTGTCTCACGAAGACATCCCAGGAGTCGGACAAAACATTGTTGTTGAAGCGCTATAGAATAAAAAAATTGTAACCAGATGTGTTGCTCCCCATGATACACAGAAACATCAACACGAAAAACTTCGACCAGGAGAGATGTCAACCAGTGATACACAGAAACATCAACACGAAAAACTTCGACTAGGAGAGATGTCAAACTTTAAAGACATTTGAAAAACCACCTTAGTCGATAACTTAAGACCCGACAGAAATTCGAATTACTGGCGGAACAAGCTAAAGAACAGATGTTTTTTACTTTCTCGTATGCAGAGTATAGAGAAAGTATTGAAATCGTGCACAAAAATCACATGAAATTTTGACAGTTTTCACCGTTTTACTCCTCAGTCCTTCATCACATCCGGAGTATAGAGGACTTATTTTAATCGGGCAAAAATTATAAATCCAGTTTTATCAAAATGTTTACGTTTTATGCGTAATCGAGTCTGAAAAACTGGGCTTTGCAATTATGTCCGTGTGTGTGTGTTTGTGTATGTGTGTCTGTGAACACGATAACTTCAGTACCGTTACAGCCAGAGTTTCTTCCAGGCATCTCTTCGGGGGGGGGGGGGGCAAAAAAGTCTGGAAGAAACACTGGTTACAGCTAGGATGATGAAATTTCATATATAAGTATTATATTAAATTTGTAGTTTTGTATAAACTTGTCAGCGATTTCCGATAACCGGAAGTGGAATTTATTCTACTTTCAATTTTTCAAAAGCCCATAACTTGAGTATAGTCAAATTTTGAGTAATTTCCGTTGACCGGAAGTAGTAATTTACGCTATTTCCGATTTCTCAAAAAATAACGCATGTGAATTTATAAAGTACCAATAATATTCCGCATTATTATTCACATTTCGTTTGGCGTTTACTTGGTGCTCAATTCTTTTTTCTACGAGATTCTATTCTATTTTTAAAAGTTTAATTACTTAAAAATGGATTTAAAAAATCATGTCTATAGCCCGAGTTGCCATCCGCCGTGTTGTTATATAAGAATATTGGAGAAAGTTTAGGGGAGATCACTACCGGTTTATTTAAATAAAAAATATTAAAAGATCCACACACGTACACACACCCAGACACACAATTCAAAAATTATAAATTTAAGTTATAAAAAAAATCCGAAAATATTTTGCAATTAAAACACAAAGGGAAATATTCCCGAAAGAAAAAAAAATTGTATACAATACATCTATCATTGAGAAGATAAATAGTAGGTTTATCCAACAAAAATTGTATACGGTACATCTGTCATTAAAAAGATAAATAGTTGGTATATCAAACAAAAATTGTATACGGTACATCTGTCATTAACCTGATTATACAGACCTTCAAGGTCGACTCAAAAAATTATCAGTTACAGGAATGTAATAGTTGGTGGAGACTACTGCCACACTAGTTGTAAATATATCTTTCTTTCTGTTTCTCAAAATTAACATTTACAAAACTAAATGTAAATTATATGTAATTATTTACGATGTTCTAAACTTTAAATTATATTCAATGTAAATCAGATTTAAATATGCGTTTACTTTTTCATAACATCTAATTATATTTTTGTCTAAAAACTAACAAAAGATCTATAGACAGACCATGGCTAGGATTGAAGTTTCACAAGTCATAAGGAATGTTCTTAAATTTAAGAATAGTTTGTTTTGTTTATTTTTCATCGGGTGGTTAGTAGTTAATATTTTGAAAAAGTAGTGTCGAAATACAAAGCCTAGTGAGGAAATCTTCGCTTCAACCATATCCGTCAAAGCAATTCTGGCTACTGGCAACACGTCCTTGACCCAGGTGACCCAGGTCAACAACATGACCCAGGACTACGGTGTGGACGTGGTACTGTTGGCTGCTAGCTACAACACGTCACTGACCCATGTGACCCATACAACCCAAGTGACCCAGGTGACCCAGGCCTACACTGTTGATGGGTTGCTGTTGAGTGACGAGGCGTTGCGCCTGTTTAACTTGATCAATTACGTCATCCTGGGCGGGTGTGTCAGCGTTGTTGGTCTTGTGTTGAACCTGATCAACGTGGCGGTGTACACCAGGCTGGGCTACAGAGACACCTCCAACATGACGCTGTCGGCCCTGTCCCTCTCAGACACGGGGCTGCTGCTGATGATGCTGGCCTACAGCCTCGTGTACAACCCCCTGCTGCCCGCCGACAACCCCGAGCTGATCTACGCCGTCAGAAACCTCGGCATCGGCTGGCCTCACGTCATCATCAGCCGGGTCTCGGGGTGTATAAAAGCCTTCATCGCCCTCGAGAGGTTTATCGCCATCGCTCACCCCCTCAAGGTCAAGGCCATCCTAACCCAGTCCCGTACGCTGATCGTCTGCTTTCTCCTGTTTGCTGTTCCATTCGCCGGCTCCACTCCCGTCTTTGTGTGTCTTGGTATCAACTTGCAATACAACGCCGTCCTTAATACATCAACGCTAGCACTAGTAGCCTGTAGTAATCGCTACACGGTAGAGGTCAACGCTCGCTACTTCAACATGTTCCTCCAGCTCTCCTCCTTCCTCCTCATCTCTGTGCTGACCGTCGGGCTGGTCCACGCCGTGCTCAAGACGTCCAGGTGGAGGAAGACCTCTGTGACGTCAGGACGTACGACACGTGACCAGAGGCTGACTCGAACCGTCCTGGTCGTCTGCCTGTCCCACATCGCCTGCGTCACGCCCAACATCGTCGGCACGGTCGTTACGCTCGTGCTCAAAGATTACCTGGCCAACGTCAGGTACAAAAACCTGCTGGACGCCATCTACTCCAGCCTGTTTCTACTCGGTGCTATCAACAGCTCTATAAACATTTTTATTTACATCAAGACTAGCTCAAAGTTTGTGAAGGTTCTGAAATCTATGTTGATTCAACAAGAAAACAAAAAGAATATTTTTATTTTAAACAAGCTGTAGGTGGTAGTGATGGTAGTGCTGGTAGTGATGGTAGTGATGGTAGTGCTGGTAGTGCTGGTAGTGCTGTTGATTCTTGCAGTCAGCAGCAGGTTGTATCAGATTGTGGCGGGCATCCAATGTATTTCATCTGGATCACGTTAGATCTAGGTTCTACTTTGACTTTCCCTTCCTCCGACAGCTTATCTATAGATCTAGAGAAATTTATTGTGTACTCAAAATAGAAAAACTGTTGAAATTTGATAATAGTGTTAGAACCTAATACAAATAACAAACGGACGCATTGTTAAAGCTATAGCCGACAGAAAATTTAGCTTTCTAATGCGATAAACTTTTGAATGGGCAACATGATCTTCCATGGAAGCCGCCATGTTTGTTGTAAAAAGAAAATGAATCACGTGATGTCACTATAAGTAAAGTCATTGCTCTGAATTTTTATAATTAAAGTGGTGTTCCACAAACGAATATATCAATAAATTAATTAACGTCTTTAAATGAATTTGTGATTAACCGTTTGGTAAATAAGAACATTATTCTCTACCTTAATACGTATTTTACAGCTCTACACATAGTGCACATTCTCCCCTGTAACCAAACAGACAAAAAATAAATAAATAAATATACAAACTTGTAAACAAAAGTTGAGTTTTAGTAGTGTATAGATATATAGATAGATCCTCGAACCAGAAAGTGCATAGGGTAGAGCAAGCAGAGTGGACCACCGTGATAATGATGCCCTGATATCGTAATGTTATCCCATTGGATTACAACAACTATTTAATTGCAGGATGTGACCTACTTAGGTCCTGTCTTTTTAGTTGTACATTTATTAATCAACCATGGGTGACCTGTGGTGTAATCAACGGTATTTTTCCATAGTTTCAAGAAAGATATATACCCAGTACTTTTCCATCACGATATGTGGTGCAATCCTTCTATAATTACGATTGGTTAATTCGGACATCGGCGATGGCCTAAACCAATAGTCTTATGACTTGAAGGTGACCTCCCATGTTTCCCAAGTAGTTCAAATAGCCTGCGCACACGTCTCTCGCGGCAGTCCAGACCAGACGTCCTGAGAGAGAAAGCCGTGTGTGCCGCCATTTTGTATTCTGTAGTTCAAAGCAGCATTTTCCCTGATTACTTGTGGTTTAAGTAATATTCTGTGCTTTAAGTAGTTTCGTATAAGCTGTGGTGATTTTCCTAAGTGCCATTTCCTGTGATAGTGTAACATAGTTTTTTTTCTTCAACTTGTGAGTTGGGTTTTGTTTATTCTGCTCATTCATTATATTTTGTATAAAGCTAGAGTCTTACTTTGAACTTGTACACATTTTAAAGGTTATATATAGATTAAAAATGTTGTTGGTATCAAGAGTTCTTCGAATTTATCCCCTAGACGTTATATACGAGTCCTCAGTGAAGTTTTGTACCTGCTACCCTTTTAAGGCTATGTGCCATCTGTGTTTAACCCTCTAAACGAACCCGGTACGTTCGCCAGCTCTGCGACTGTTAGAGTGGTGATCGTAATAGGGCCATCAAAAACTACCATCTAGGTAAACCAAAAAATTGCCCCGTTTCATGTAGAACTACTGACCCTATCATTTCTCAACTCACAGTAAATAATGTGTTGATATTTCTTGAACCTCGGATATTTAAAAACATGCAACGTTTCTTTAAAAGTATTGGAAATAAAGACGAAAATTATATCGTCGTGACGAACTTCAATTTTTTTGTGTTTCCTGACGTTAATTTGATCACCAAACCTGCAACTCACTCTACCTCATTCCCACCTCATCCGCTCTTCACCCCTCCCCCCCCCCCCACACACACACACACACCTCATTCCTACTAATGAACAAGATCATTACACATCAGCTGTTTCCAAGTACAAACTAATCTATTAAGAAATTTAAGATAAGCTTTTAATGACGTCAACACACGATACAGAGATTAACATCTTCGCTATCAAGATGTTAGCTTCCATACATCACAAAAACAACTAGCTATTTCGGGTCCTAGGACCTTTGACCACAGGTGCTTTGACCATAGGGGGTTTGACCATAGGGGGTTTGACCACAGCGGAGCTTTGACCATAGGGGGTTTGACCACAGCGGGGCTTTGACCATAGCGGTGCTTTGATCATAAGGGGTTTGATCATAGGGGGTTTGACCATAGGGGGTTTGACCACAGGTGTTTTCTCAGCAGAGGGTCTTTGATCACAGGTGGTCTATCAACTGGTGTTTGATCACAAGCGCTGTGTCCGGCTTTGATCATAGGTGTTTTGTCCACATAGGGTCTTTGATCTCAGGTGGTTTGTCCAATGCTGTCCATATATGGTAAGGATTTATTTTAAAAGTTGCTAAATTATATTTTAAATTTCAACATGATGTAATAATATGTTAAATCATCATGTATAAATACAAGTCATCTAAACTACTCTATGTCAAAACCATGGAGAATCTTGCACACGATTGGCGATGGTGTAGCACGAACAAATAACATTTGTAAAGGATGGCATTACAGTCTTCAGTCTCTCCCCCAATGTAGTCACCCAACAATGTGGCGTTTCCTCGAAGGTCTACAGATGGACTGCACACGGCAAAAGACAACTTTCTTGCAAGGTGTCGCAAGGCAAGCTACCCAGCTGAGAAGCGATACAAGATGCTGCACGAAAAAGTACAACGTGCTGTCCAGACATATGTATTTTCAAGTACATCTACATTATTTTTTTGTGAAACTTGTTATATGTCGCATTATTTGTGTTTCATTTATATTTAAAATAAATCTATGAGGCCTAGCACCAGCCTTTATGTGGTGACTAAAATATAGTTCTTGGCTTTTTTTTAAATACATGTTAATTTCTATTAACGTACTCTCAGGAAACATGTATAAAATCGTGTTAATTGTATCACACCTATGATCAAAGCCGGACACAGCGCTTGTGATCAAACACCCGTTGATAGACCACCTGTGATCAAAGTCCCTCTGCGTAGAAAACACATGTGGTCAAACCCCCTATGGTCAAACCCCCTATGGTCAAAGCCCCTATGGTCAAAGCTCCGCTGTGGTCAAACCCCCTATGGTCAAACCCCCTATGGTCAAAGCACCTGTGGTCAAAGGTCCACGCACCCTATTTCGTCGTTTAAACCGACATGTTTTCTCAATGTTCTGGCTGTGTGTTGAAGCAACGCATTTTATTTCGCCAACCCTACATGGACAAAATACGTCTAAACAAGTTTACTTTAAAATATTACTTGGTTTCTTTTTGTAGACTTAACATACTGATGAGAACTTTTACGAACTTGGAGCTTGTCTTGATGTAAATGAAAGTGTTGGCTGAGCTGTTGACAGCACCGAGTAGAAACAGGCTGGAGTAGATGGCGTCTAGCAGGTTGGTGTACATTCCACTCACCAAGTACTCTCTGAGCACGAGAATGACGACCGTGCCGACGATGTTGGGCGTGACGCAGGCGATGTGGGACAGGCAGACGACCAGGACGGTTCTAGTCAGCCTCTGGTCACGTGTCGTACGTCCTGACGTCACAGAGGTCTTCCTCCACCTGGACGTCTTGAGCACGGCGTGGACCAGCCCGACGGTCAGCACAGAGATGAGGAGGAAGGAGGAGAGTTGGAGGAACATGTTGAAGTATATGGCTACACTCTCCAGCTGGTAGCGATTGCTACAGGCTACTAGTGCCAGAGTTGAGATGTTCAGGGCAGAGTTGAAGTGGGAGGTGATACCAAGACACACAAAGACGGGAGTGGAGCCGGCGAATGGAACAGCAAACAGGAGAAAGCAGACGATCAGCGTACGGGACTGGGTTAGGATGGCCTTGACCTTGAGGGGGTGAGCGATGGCGATAAACCTCTCGAGGGCGATGAAGGCTTTTATACACCCCGAGACCCGGCTGATGATGACGTGAGGCCAGCCGATGCCGAGGTTTCTGACGGCGTAGATCAGCTCGGGGTTGTCGGCGGGCAGCAGGGGGTTGTACACGAGGCTGTAGGCCAGCATCATCAGCAGCAGCCCCGTGTCTGAGAGGGACAGGGCCGACAGCGTCATGTTGGAGGTGTCTCTGTAGCCCAGCCTGGTGTACACCGCCACGTTGACCAGGTTCAACACAACACCAACAACGCTGACACACCCGCCCAGGATGACGTAATTGATCAAGTTAAACAGGCGCAACGCCTCGTCACTCAACAGCAACCCATCAACAGTGTAGGCCTGGGTCACCTGGGTTGTATTGGTCACGGTCAACGAGAAGTTGTCACTGACAGCCAACATCATCTGACAATAACTTTCAGACGTTCTGTTCGTACTATGGGTATTCTATTTCCTTTCACTGTAAACAATACGTGGTAACTAACCTTTAAATTTAAACTCGAAATCTTATAAGTTATTATGTATAGATCCATCTGGTTTTTTACTGCGGTATTGTAGTGAAAGTCACGTTTTAAGAAGCAAGATAATGAATTTTATCTTGGACTTAATTATTTGGTAGACAAATTAAAATAATTACAAGTAATTTTAAAATTTGTTTGTTGATAATTACTGCGCCAGTGAGGCCGACCCACAATAAGATACAAACAACAGATTCCGTCAAAGATGTTTCTACATTTAGCCAACTAATTGGAATGTTGTTTTTCATGAAATTGATTCAGTCATTGACCTTTCCTGTCCTGTTTATTTTGTGCGCGTGTGAGACAATAACCTCGGTCTTGTGCGTCACGTTATCAAGGCTGTCATTAAAACAATTATCATGTCTTTCTTTAACCGTGAAATTAGTTTCATTGTTTTTAATCTTTGTTTTGAAAACTCACTTACATTTTTTGTAGGGTATTATCTACTTCTTAATTCACACTTACACACTTACACACACACACACACACACATCGAGCTATCTAGAGCTGTCGACGGGTTTAGTTTGTAAGAGATTCCTGTGTTGAGATCAGCTTGATGGATGGCACATAGAACTTGTACATATCAGATGTCAGTAACTGAT